TGCAGGAAGCAGGATTTCATTTCACTACCTTCAAGGGGAAAGAGCCAGAAGTGGAGCTTGTCCATTGGACCCCGAGATCCCTGTGCATTGAACATTCTTGATTCACGAGAAACCTTTGGCACTACAGGAATGACAGAGGAGAAGCCACAGACACAGAGCCGGGAGTCAGTCAGAGCGGTACACTTCACAGACCAATGTGCAGGTAAATCTGAGTGCTCTGGGGCTAGAGGTGGTTTGTGGAGTGGAGTGCCTCTCAGCCCTTAATTTGGGGAGATGACTTTACTGATCCAGAGAGATGGGAGTTGGGTGCCTTTGGATTGAGGATTACAGAGAAGTGGCATGTCCTTTGGGCATCTATTAGCAACCCTCTAAGACCTTAGTAACAGGTCCTGCATGATGAAAAAATTTTACTTGAATTCTAATCTACTAACTTTCATAATAAACCCCATAATCATAAGTATTGTCTGTGACTTTTGTGTGGCTATTACAATGAATTATATGAGGGGGTAAGCCCCTCAAAATAGTTTTTCTTTCAAAGCTATGAATTTATTTTTTTTAACCAAACAACCTTATCACCTACAAAGTACTCTCCCTTACCAGCCTCTAACAGTATCACAGGTCCATAGGTACAATTATACAGCTGTAATATATAAAGATTATATTAAAGTCATGGAGAATAGGAAAGGTAGGAGAGAAGTTAAAATAAAGAAGTCAGACACATTTTATGGTAGCATGCTCACCTCAGCCTTTCTTGGTGGTCCACGTGGAGGTGGGATGCAAGAGGGAATATATTTCTAACCAAGGCTTTTATATACTTAGGGGCTTGCAAGCTCCACTGATTACAGGTAAGTACATATGGCACAGGATGGAGTTGTACCATAGGCAATACAAGCAATGGGAGGGGGATAATTTAGGGATGTACATGCAATAGGGAGGGGAAGAACTAGGGGTACACATGTGACAACATGGGTGGATCCTAGATTTAAGAGGGCAACCTAACCTTGGTCATCCTTGAGTGGTCTTGACCTTTTCTCTGGGCTCTCCTGGGAAACAATCACTATCCTTATCAGTAGGGTGTGAGCCCCACCTATGGTGGGACAGAGACTAGTTTGATTGCTCTGGATGGCTGAAGCACTCAGGGAGAAAGTTTCTAAGCAGCTTACCTCACAATGCGCTAGCAAGCAGGTGACAACCTGGAGAAAAACTTTTCTGTATCCCACACTTACACTTAATACCTTTGTCAAATCTGAAAATTCATTCGAGGAAACATTTTTAAACTCATCTGCTTGTGTGGCTGACCACACCTCCCTTGTTTTTTTTCCTTCACCTCTTCTATGTCATCAAATCTCTGTCCTTTCATGTCCCTCTGCAATTGTGTAAACAAATGGAAGTCACACACGCAGCCAGGTCAGGTGAGTAAGGTGTGTGGGGCAAGAGAGACATGCTCTTTGTTCCCCAAAACTGGCACACTGAGATGGCTGTGTGAGAAGGTGCATTGTCATGGTGGCAAAACCAGTCCTGTCTGCCACAAGCAGGCCTTTTTGGTCACACACTGTTATGGAATCTTTTCAGAACCTCTAAATAGAAAGCTTGATTAACAGGCTGACCTGGTGGAATGAACTCCAAATGCACTATCCTCACACACACACACAAGAGCATCGTCTTGATATTTGATTTCACTTGATGAACATTTTCGGGGTTGAGGTGATGGTGGAGTCTCCCACTGGTTTGGCTGATGTTTGAGTTCAGTGTCTTGCTAACCATAATGGCCATGGGGAAAAAGTTTGGTTTGTTTTGGAGCTGTTCTTTCAAACCGCAGCATGTTTCCACATGACACTATTTTTCCTGGTAAATCAGAACCTGAGGCACAAATTTTCCAGTGACCCTTCTCCATCCCAAATCTTCTGCTACACTCTGCTGAACCGAGCTCCAAGATAGTCTAGATAACTTCCCTGTCTCTTCAATGGTCTGCTGTCGGACTTTGAGCACAAGTACCTACTTGTGGTGATGTTTTCATGTGTTCAGGAAGTTAACATCTATCAATCGACATTCACCTTTTTTGAAATGAGAAAATCAATTGTACTTGAGTTTTTTCCATAGCACTGTCCTGTAAGCTGTGTTCAACATCACAACAGTTTGGGTGGCATTTTTCCTGAGCAAGAAACAAAATTTCACAGCCACACACTGTTCTCTTAAATCAGTCATCACACACACACACACAACGAGGTTTGAATGAAACTGTTTTTAGAAAAAAAATTCACTGTGACCAGAGAATCTTCCCAAGAGATGCCACTGGGTACACTAACTCAGAGCAAGTTGTTCAATGCTCGCCCAGAGGGAAAAATGCTTACTACAAAAGTTCTGCCCTGCACAGCTTTGTTCCATTTGGGGGGTGGTATCCCTCATAGAACCTAACTAAAGAGTAGGGAGTGCTGCATGAGACAATTATATATCGCCTTATTTACAATAACCCAATCTAATTATAGAAGAAATAATTATTCCCATTTACAGACTCATTTTTCACCTTTTGGTTTAACATTTATTATATTTGAAGTTATTAAACTTTTTACTTATTTAAGCTGTATATATTTGCATGTGTATTTTTACTTTTGTTACCAGGACTATGCATGTTATAGATATATAAGTAGTATGTGTGTATATATGTATGTATATATATGTATGCATTGTACATATATATATATACATTATACATATATATATATATATATATAATCTTTTATCTCCCTACCACCTGTGACACTGTATGAGAGTAAGTGCAAAAGTATTGCTACAAAATTGTAGAAAGTTTTATTAAACAAAACATGCAAGTGTGATGCTATTATTTCTCAATGTATCCTCCACTGTGATCTATACACTTCTGAAGGTGGTATTATCATTCCTTTAACCTTTCCTAGAGGAATTCTACACTCTTTCATGCACACCACATCCAAATAGCGGTTATTGTTATTGTTTCACCCTTAGGGGACTCAACTATTTTATGCTGATGTTTTTAATTTTTTTAAATTATATTTGCGTTTTAGGGAGAAAACAAAGTTGGAAAGTACAAGACTATAGCTGGAAGATGGATGATCGATGGTGTCTAAAAGAAATTTTCTTTCTTTCGTTTTAAATGTTTGCATCCAGACTCGGACCAGCTCCACAGGAGGAGCCATTCCACTCCCAATAGGTGCAAAATGCTGCCCATGGGACAGCCCACTCCAACCCTGAAAGGGTGCTTGGAGCCAGACCCCACTGGGCAGCGCTTGCCCTTCCCACAGTGTAACACCGTCACAGGCATCGTGCTAGCCTGGACAGCTGACAACCATTGGGCTAAAAGAAATTGTCCCTGAAGAGTTTTTGCTACTTTTGGAGAACAGCAGGCGCATTGCCGTGATGGCCAAAACAGTTCCTCATTGCCACTTTCGTGGCCTTTTTCACCTTGATGCCGTTTTCCTTTTCAAAAACCTCCTTCCTAATAAGCTCCTGTGATACTTTGAGAAAATCTATCACGTTTCCCCATGTCGAATCTCAAAGAGACACCATAACATTCTGAAATGATCTCCCTGCTTTTAGTCGAATTGGCCCAATAGAACCCTAACAGTCATGTTTTAATTGGACCTTTCTTGAAGGCACCCTAGTGAGACTAAGGCAAATGTATTACTTAGAACCTATCTACTGCTCTCCACTGATCTCTGAGACATTTCAAATTATGTTCTGTTTGGAATAAACCCATGCAAGTATGAACTAGAAACCGAGTAGAAATCCTTTTTGATTTACTCTATTGTCTACCAGGTCCTCAAAAGTCATTGTTATGATGAAGAGATAAGGAAGGAAGGAATGATGGGAAGAGATGAGTAGGGAACAAACAATGAGGAAAGATACAGATCTACCTCCATTAATCCATGGGGGATTAACTCCAGGACATTCATGGATATCAAAATCCACAGATGTTCTGTTGCCTTGTATTTGATGACATAGTATTTTCATGTACAGCTTCCTGTATATTATCTATGCACATCCTCTGTATATTTTAAACCACCACTAGATTTTGTGTAATACCTAACACACTGTAAATACTATACAAATATTACTTTATGCTCCCGCTTAACATTTGCTGATTGCTTTGCCATTTAATTGCATTTTAGGAATACTTTTTTTCCTCTTGAATATTTTGACTCCATAGTTTGTTGAAACGGTGGATGCAGA